GCCCCTGGGCTGCCCGGGGCTGGGGAGGGCTCCGTGGGCAGAGCCGAGACCCTTCCCACGGGGAGGAGGCACCTTCAGACCTGCTGCAAAACCCGCGCCTCGGGAAAGCGCTGCCGGAGCCTGAGGGGGTGCGGGCAGCCGTCGGGCTGTCACCCTCAGCAAGCCTGGAGTGGCTCAGTGAAAGCAGAGGTGCGGTGGGTTTAAACCAGTGAGGGGTACCCTTGAAGACAAGCATGTCTCTGTAGCTGCCACACGCGCCTGGGTCAGTGAGAGGAGAGGTGTGTGGTGACAGACAGACCCCCTGCCCAGCCCTCCTGGGGGGCGGCGGGGGGAAAGGCGTGACACCGCAGCCAGCCCTGCCCCGCGGGGGCAGCCGCTCCGGGACGTAACTTCGGAGTTGGTGACTTTAAGAGGGGCTTGTTTCCTTACAGTGAGACAAAAACAAAGTTGGTGGTGCGGGCAGCCAAAGTTTCCTCCACAACTTGGTGACAAACGATAGGAGACAGGGTTAGGATGAGTTCTCTCCAGCTGGGAAAGCGCCCGTGATGGTTGGCGCGGGAAGGTGAGGGTTGTGGGGCTGGGCTGGGCACTTCAGGAGGGGCTCGACGCGGAGGTAACAAGTGTCTGTGCTTTCTGCATGTTCCATCGTGATCTCTGCAGCTGCGGGAAGTGTGTGAACGTGCATATGCTTTGGGAAGTTGAAACATTCTTACTGGTTCCTGTCTGATGTTCTCAGCTATGGGTTTTAGCATCTCTAGGGGTCTTCACTAACTTTAGCTAGAGGACAAGAGGAACACCCAGGATCTCTAAGGAGGAGGTAACGAAGACCCTAGTCACAAGTTCTTTGGTTTGTTTGTAGCCAGGTGTGGTTAACCAAATACTGTCACTGCTTGGAAAGTGTCCTGTGGCAAAATATATGAAATCAATTAGTGGTGTCCTTTAAGGTAATACTGGACACATACCCATGTAAAAGTAAATACAATCTGTCACTTCAGCAGTTGTGAGTGGACTGCATGGCTGAAGTCTCCTTGCACCTCTGTAGATTGTCTTAGGAGCTGAGTGTAAAAGGGGTTGGGGGACTTTGCACTACTGTTACCCACACAGTACTGACTCCAAGTGGAGTCTGCAAAGAAATCCTTCTGGCAACTGCTGTGGAAGTCAAACAGAAAATGATTCTCACTGCGATAGATACGCACCCACTGCTATGAACCCTGCCAGTGGCTGTTTCAAGTTAGCCAAACTTACTGGCAAAAAAAAAATATGTCTCTTGACTTTAACTCATCTACAGAAATTGCAGTTATGCCTGGTTATTCATGTCTAGTTTATATAGGGTATCTGCTCTTGAATGCCAAAAAAAACATTACATGTTAAAAGTGCTGGGAAGGTTGCCGTTTGCTTCAGTGATGATAGCCTGGAAAATATTTAAAGAATAGTTTCATACTGGGGAATTTTTCCAGGAAACTGCAGTATTCAAAGTTCCATTGCCATTTTCATGGTTTGAATCAACAAGTGTGCCACCTAAGTGCCAACTGCTAGGGAGATTGTCCTTTCTGTGAAAAGTGAGACTGGGAAACCATTTTTCCACAATTAAAGCTGATGACAGCATATGGCCTTCATTAGCAGCATTTTGGGAGAAGATCTACTTTCTTGCTCAGATTAGGTCATGTTGTACTAGATTAAGGGTAGTTTTCAGGTTAATTCAGCTACTTGCCATTGGGTTAAATAACTTTTTGTTATGAATAGGCACTGGCAGTATATTTTTGCTAGATGTGTAAGTGACTAGAAGCACGGTAAACTATGAAGTATCGTGTAACAGTGCTCCTAAACTTTAGGGCACTAAATTCTACTCTTTTCTACTCTTAATTTCTGGTTGAATTCAAAGTAGTTTCCTTCATTTCTCCTTTCTCTCTTCTGGACTCTTCATTATATCTCCTGCCTTGGCTTTGCTCTGAGACATAGCAGTTAAGAAGGTTTATGTCAGTGGGGCTGTCATGCCTTCAGACATCACTGCAATTCAAAGGAGGAGAAGCATAAAGGGAAGTAAGTCAATCTAGTAGATTACTTAAATGCAAATTTGGTTAAGGCTGTGTGGTAGGTTGCCACAAAAGTAAATCCTTACATTTGCTAGAACTGTCTGGAAAATGGGATGTTTCTGGAGGCTGATTTTAGTAAAGGCTGTCATGTTCTCCGTATGCTGAAAGGGCAAAAAGCACAGTAGAGCTTTCTGGTTCTGGAAGAGTTAATAATCTCCATGGAAACTGATGGCAGTGTACTAGTGCAGTGTTTAGACAGACTAAACTACACGCTGGGTTATAAAACACATTGTTGGGAAGAAAGGGACTTGGCAGCAAATTTTTATCGCTCTTGAAACTCCTGACAAAATACCAGCTCAAAAGGGAGGAGTCAATGCAGTAAAGGCTGGAGCAAAATAACTTTAAAATAGCTCCTAAAACAATACAAGAAATTAACTAGCTAGGTGGCAGTCTAGGAGAGGCTTTTCAACTTCAGAAGCCTGAATGTTGAAGAAGAAAACTTCTAATTGAGGAGTGTAATGAAAACTCTTATTGTCTTTCATGCCTAGGCAGTGAAGTCCTACTCTTCAGTTTATTCTCATCTCCTTTAATCTGATCTCACTAGACACTTAATTTTTTATCTTCCTGTGGCTCAGTTCTGATACAGCCTCTCCACACTGCTGTCATTAAAAGGTTTTAATCTTTACAGAAACAGATGCTCAAATTAACCAGTTGGAAAGGGCAGGATTTCAATGTATACATCCTTTGAAAGGGAAGGCTTCTAAAGGAAGCTTGGACTCCATACACAACACTTTTTTTTTTTTTTTTTCTTCTTTATTATTAAGAAGGGGGGTGGAAGAGAAACTACTGCCAGAGTAGTCACAAGGGGTCTTTTAACTCAGCCCGAGTGTTCCAGCATGATGAACGGAGCAAAAGTGAAGAGGTGTGTCTCATCTGGCCCTCCAAGGTCAATCAATAATAAAACTGGTGTTTTAACTCTTGGCTTTCTTTCTTTAAATGGATTGGTGAGTGCCCGAACAGGCAGTACAATAATGAGACAAACGGCAAGATAAACAGCAACTGCTATGACTTGCCATCTGAACTTTGCTTCCTCCACTCCCGCCCCCTGCTTACGACCCCTTCCAGATGTGAATATTTTTCTTTTGTTTGAATTGAGAGACCTTTTGAAAGAACAGACACCAGGCATGCTTTGTTCTATTGTGACAAAGCTGTGACATTTCCAGCTGGACATAGCTGACATGAAAAGGGCTTGTTTGTCCTTTTTTTTTGCAGGAGCAGCAGGAACTTTTGAGCTTGGCTGCTGAATGTTGCATTCACAGGTTTGGAAAAACACCTCCTGCCTGGCCCCCTCTGCCCAACCTCCCCTCTAAAAAAAATAAAAAGGAGAAAAATATGTGAAATTGCAGGCTGAATTTTGACAAACCAGTCTGGGTGATAAAGGACTTTGTCCACTCCACGCCTATCTCACTTTGATCTCATGCATATACTTCAGAAAAGAGCTATGGAACTACTAGCTGCCTCTTACCCAAGTTCAAAGGAGCTCAGAATAACATTCCTTTCTATAGTTTATGCTGGGAGAAGAACTATTTCAGTAAGGATGCCGGTGCCTAGTGCCCCTCTTCATTCTAAATAACCTCACTTCTGGTGAGCAGCAGTTGGAAAGCTCTGGGGAGATGAAGGTAAGCTCTTGGTGTCCCATGGTGTTAAGAAAGCCATTAATTTCTCAATCCTGCCATTCCTGTAGCACTGAGTTTACAACACCTGCAGTGGCTAACCTCCTTTGAACTGAGAATGTGATACTGGAATAGCAAAAGAAAACAGAAAAGGAGAAAGCTCATTAATTTGCTTAGCTCAAAGTCTAAGCACCTAACTGAAAACCTGTCCTTTTTCTTCACTGGTTTCCTGATATGATTGTTCCACCTTCTTATTCATAAACTAAGAGATGTACAGAACAACTTGATCATATGTGAG